TTTGATGCAACTGCTTGACACCTCAAATAATAACTGTACGTCAATGTCTTTTGAGTTTTTTGTGTATTCCTTTTTATTTACGCGAGGCATTTTAGTTGATCAGAATCTTAGAGCTCTCCAAGTTACAAACTTGAGTTCTGGGCTTTGAAGCAACTGCTTGTTAGGACACTATCTGGTATCCACCTTCATTTTACTTATAAACTGGTCAATTACAAGCAACACATTGTTTACTGGAAAGTTCTAGTCTATTAGGACTTTGTCATACTAGTTCTGAAGTTATGTTCATTCTCCAGGTTTATTGAAAAATTTGGTACTCATGTCATTGTTGGTATAAAGATGGGGGGAAAAGATGTAATATATATGAAACAACAGCACTCCTCATCGCTTCTGCCTGCTGACGTGCAAAAACGTTTGAAGACAATGGCAGATAAGAGGTTTTCAGGTGCAAATGGACAAGGCGGAATAGAATCGCAGCAGGCAAATCAGAATGAGAAGGTAAAGGATATCATCTGACCCTCCAATTTCCATAATCATGACAAACACTCACAAACACATGAATTATGTTCTTATATGAAGCTTTTGGAGCCTGTGCACTAATTACACTTTTCGATTTTAAAAAAGGGATGGTGAAGGCCAAATTGATGGATGTACCAACCCTTTTGGATTCAGAAACAAGATAATCTGAAGCTTATGTTTTTCTGTTTCTCTTATCCCTTTATGACTCAGAAGGGATTCTGACCCAAACAATTTAGGGTCTTTATGTCTCATCAGTCATCGCTATTGCTTGAATGGTCATAATTGCCAACCTTCCTTATTCCTGGTTGTTTTGCAAAGTCCTTTCTCTCTCCTTGAATTGTTATTTTAAAATCTCTGCAATATTGGCTGAATCAGAAAGGCTTATAAGATCTTCTATGGCCGCATAGACAATGTCGATCAATATCTGCAGATGGATTTACTCTGTAGGTCATTTGTCTTACAATTGGGTATTAGTTGAAATCCTTACTGTCAAGTTCTATATCACGTCTTTTGTCATAACCATTAGATTACTAGAGAAAAAATTCATGACATATATTATTTATTACGTCACAATTATTATGAATCTATTGTCTCTGTCTCTGATTTGATAATGTTGCCTCAGTTTGAAATCAGGGAGCACCGACTGAGGTTCGCCGATCCCAATATATCAGGTTCATATGCACATAAGGAGGTAGGTGGTATAGGATTTTCATTAGGTCTGTTAAGTTTTGTGCACTTTAGAGTTCTGAAACAAGTTTGTCAACTTGCCCATTGGCTACTGAAATTGCAGGATACTGTTTGTATTTGCAAGAGGAGAGGTGGAAGTGATAGCAGAGGCCTGATGCATAATCAGTGGTTACAAAGTGTTGATCAGGAGCCTGATGTGATCTCAATGTCCTTCATTCCTGTAACTTCACTGTTGAATGGCATCTCAGGAAGTGGATTTTTAAGTCATGCTATAAATCTGTACTTACGCTGTAAGTTAGAGCATGTCATTTGTTATTTTCTTGCTTCTATCTTGTATGTGATATAAGTTTTAAGCTTCCATGTACAATGCACATTGCTAAATGTAACATTTCCATTTAATAGTTATGGTGCTCAGGCTCTCCAAAAATGTTGCTGCACCTGTGTCGGATCCTCCAAAAATACACTAGTTTTGGAGCATCCAACATGCACCCGTTGTCAATTTTGAAGAGTCCGAGCAACATATATTATGGGCAAACAATAGGACGGAGGAGGGCCTGTTGAGTTCATGTTAATTTTGAACCTTTTACAATTAATAGTTCTGGGCAAAATATAAGGTGGAGGAGGTGTCCTGTTAAGTTCCTGTATTTTGCACCTTTACGTTTGCATTTTCTCAAAATGTTAATGATTTTATCAAAATAAGATGTAGAAGTGCCTACTGAGCCCTGCTAATTATGGGTCTAAAAGAAGATGGCTGATTTAAATATGTCTGCATTTTCTCAAAATATTAATGTGTTGTCTGATCTTGGAATATTTTTTAAATCTTGCAAAAACTTTTTCGAAAGAGGGGGTTAGGCTGGCCTGTTTGGGCATAATTACTGTTGTGCTCATTTGAAGGTGTGTATTTCAAATGAAAATACTAGCTTTCACTTTTAGCCACAAATCTTCGACTCTCGTAAATTTATTTTCCAAGTGAAGTTCATGTCCACAACTTCAACTTCCACAAACATTTTTCTTTTGACTTCAACTTTAAATATTCTTTCCCCTCCCCCCAATTTCAACTCAAATGTTGTCCAAACAGATATCCTTTATCAAGATTTTTTTGATAATGTATTAATTGCATGTGATATTTTATTATGTAATTACCTGGAAATTCTGTCCTTAAATCTTCACCTTTATATGGAAGTGTTGTCTATTTATGCAGATAAACCACCAATTGAAGAGCTTCACCAGTTTTTGGAATTTCAGCTGCCAAGGCAATGGGCACCAGTATTCGGTGATCTTCCGCTTGGTCCACAGAGAAGGCATTTAAGTTTTCCGTCTTTGCAGTTCAGTTTACTGGGTCCCAGGCTTTATGTGAACACCACTCCGGTGAGCTCCCTTAATTTTAACACCTCAATTTTCTATAGAAAACCTGCAATGGAGCAAAAGGTGGTTTATTTTCTCCTTGTGCTCCTTATGTAGCGGCACCAACTCAAAGCAATCCCGTCATCTTCCTGAAGTCATTAACATTGCATATAACACCACCCCAAGGGAAAATCTATTTTTTTCTTTGGGGCTGGTGTTCCATATATTATTCCACGCCGCCTTTTTTCCCATCTCAGCTAACTCCATGTAATATGATCCCATAGTCAAGGGTTCCGTTTTCGACCCTTACTATATCATCTTGTCTTCCAGTCTCACCTTACTAGCTATCATAGTATTCGTCAGATACTCCTCAACCTTGTTGATTTTCAACCGTAGATGTCTTTTCTGAAGCTTCTATCCCATGTGGTCCCTTGTCATCCTTCTTAAATAATACATTTTTTTAATAAGTTATCATTCTGAAAGGATCAGTTACATCCTCCCTGAAGTGTATCCTATTTACTTTTCCTTCCATCTCTTGCTCTTTTTTAGTAAATTCTCCCCATGAGAGCTTGTCACCTCACCCGATAGCCATCTATTATGAAATTCCTAACTTAATAGCTATTATCTTTTTCCATAAAATTTTCTCCCCTCAGACAAATCTAATTATGCTCCTGGCAGCACCATGTTAAATGAGGACAATCCAAATTCTATCTTCAAATGAACTGGGGTTTTTTTTACTTTTCCAATCTTCCAAATGAATTTTTTTCTCCCTCTTCTTTCCTAATAACAAAAAATCTCTCATCATTATCTCCAATTAGTTTGCAACAATTCATGGAATATAAAACAAAAGACATGCTATTTGTGGGTATGTTACTTAGGTTGACTTCATACTATGCCGTCTTTGGATTTTGTAAGGATTTGGCTGTATTTCTCCAAATACTTGTGCACATGATCTCTAAAATAATGTTTTTAGCTAAGGATGTGAGACAATAACATCTTTGCTTCTTCATTTTTAATTACAATGTGTGCCCTTGTGAATTATTATGGGTGAGGAGCAGCTCGGAGTGCATAGCTAACTGTTTTCGATCTTTAGGAAGACTGTTTCCATTTACTTCCATTTCAGCTTATAATTGAGTTCACTGTGCAAAATGAGATGGAAGCTCCCACTAGCTTCTTTTGGTCTTGCACCAAATGCTCGGGATCAGGGAAGGAAGTAAAAGGAGGGGAAAATATTGTTGACTAGTCTGCTTAGTACCTTCTTTCCAGCCGTCCATGTGATTCATATTATTCTTGCAGGTTGATGTTGGCAAGAGGCCGGTGACTGGACTTCGTTTGTACCTTGAAGGTAGAAGGAGTAACCGCTTAGCTGTCCATTTACAGCATCTTTCATCTCTTCCTAAAGTCTTCCAACTTGAAGATGATCCAAATGGCAATTTTCACCGAGAATCATATGATCGCAAATACTATGAAAAAGTTCAATGGAAGAACTTTTCTCACGTCTGCACCGCACCTGTTGAATCTGATGAAGATCTTAACATAGTTACTGGAGCACAATTGGAATTAGGGGACTACGGGTTTAAAAAGGTCCTCTTTCTGAGGCTCCGTTTCTCGACTGTCATGGGAGCTACTATGGTAAAGCACGCTGAGTGGGATGGTTCTCCTGGGTTGGCTCGCAAATCTGGCCTGATATCAACTCTCATTAGCCAGCACTTCACTTCAGTTCAGAAGCCACCTCCGCGGCCAGATGATGTGAACATAAATTCTGCCATTTACCCTGGTGGTCCTCCAGTTCCTGTGCAAGCCCCTAAGCTCTTGAAATTTGTCGATACTACTGAGATGACTCGAGGACCACAGGAACCTCCTGGTTATTGGGTTGTTTCAGGTGCAAGGCTTATGGTTGAGAAAGGAAGGATCTCTGTGAGGGTCAAATATTCCTTGCTAACTGTAATACAACCCGATGATGAAATATCAGAGTAATTTAGAAGAGGTTCTCTTTTATTTATACTCAAAACAATGCAAAAGCTACAGGGAGAAGTTGCAGTGTAGTTTGTTGCTCAGCTTTCTTGATGTTGAAACACCTGTTGTACAAAATTTGGCGAAAGTGCCAAAAAAGGGGATGAAGCAACTGTTCTGTACTTTGAGATGTCTCTAATCTTTGTTCTGATTTTGTTTGCGCTTAATGTAAATCATGACAATATTGGTTGTAATATAATTCTCACTTCTCCAAAAATCTCTTTGAACCTATGTCCTATGCTCACTGTGATGTTTGATTGAGATCAACTCCAGCAAGAATCTTGAGTGGTTATATGAGAACACAAGTTTTTAGCTCGAAAAAAGTGAAGCCACGGGTAATTGCTTGAATTTTCACCTTGTTGGGTGAGGGTCAATATCTCAGATTAATGCACAAACATTAGCCATATTTCCTAGAATTAGCATCAAGTGACATAAAACTGCGGGAAGTAGAAAGAAGTGCATAGCTCAATAGTCAAAAGACTGGTAAAGCAATACATGGTAAAATAAGCTTACTTCAAAGCAACAAACTAAAAACTTAACCTACTGAACTTCCCAGACCATCCCCACATCTCACATATTGGAAAAGACAATACAGAAAGAGGGGAACTCAGTCAATATACAAAGCAAAAAAACAAATATATCACACAAAAACAATGAATGTCACCCTCTCATTTTCCTTCTTCCCAATGTGCAAAACTTCAGTTTTCGCCGGACAGCTAATTTTACAGGTTTGAGCATGGTGAGAGAGTAATAGATTCTGCAATTGGTGAACTTTTTTGATGGTCACATTAGGATTCATAAATATGATAATACAATAATTAGTCTTTTAGGATCATTAAGAGAAGGGAAAACTATGCTCATGGGAAGGCCAATAAACCCCTTCCCTTGGACAAGCCAGTGGAGTTGGCTTGGCAATGAAGGTAGGATACTGTTGTCCTGGCATCACAACTGTATAATCCGATGAATATCGCGTTGGTACCTGTTCATACAAGAGATGATCATTTAAGATTAAATCAAGTGGAGGGAATGATGTTTGAACCAAAAAAAAAAGAAGCTCTACACTTACTGTTTGTGAATTTGCGCGTTTCTGAAGAGGCCCCAACCCCAAGGAACTGTGTCTACTACTACCTAGAGGCGAAGAGAAAGGGGGGCTAGGCTTGAAGAGATGTTCAAATATGGCCATGATGAGAAACATGGATATGAGTATAGCTGTAGCAACAAAGCCAAAAGAAATAGCATCCATTGATGTCCCGAAATTCTTCCATTGTCCTTCTCTGTTTACTTGTGTTTGGGAAGGACTAGGTTCTGAACTTGTGTGAATATTGTTCCATGGATTTGATCTTTCTGAACCAAGCTCACTCATATTCGTATCCACTTGTTTCATTGATCAATATCAACCAAGTTGGGGTCGGCTATATGAATACTCACTGTACATGTCAAACCATATAAGCTTATCTCAGTCCAATATTTTATCAAAACAACAAACAAAAGGACAACAAGTTCTCTAATAGGACTAAAAGACTCATTAGAAAAAAATTCGAAAGAATGCTCACAGCTCACAAGTGATGCACAAATATATCTATCTTTGGAATTTAGAACTCTCATTATTTTATCACAACTTCATGGTAGCAAAAGTTGTGTTTTTAGCTTTGAAGTGAAGAGAAATCAACAGGTTTATTTTGCTTCTGAATATATCATGATCATGTTTTCTTGTTTTTATTAATTTATTATTATACAAATGATGATCTCCAAGAAACAAGTATAGCTTAATAAAAACTATGAATACCTTTAACATTTATCAACAGTTCAACACACACAATTTCACTTCATCATCAAGCAATATCAGTTTCCCATTTTTGTAACACACTTAAAATAATATCAGATAAGAAATGCAGGTAAAAATCATGAGCTGCAAAAATAGAGGAAAAAATACCTTGAATCTTGCTCTGTGATGTTATCTACTTGGAAATAAGAATGTGATGAATAAACATAAATTTGAAAGAGAATTTAATCTTGAGAAAGATTAAGCCCCAATATTAAGGACTTTATATATTCTATAGTTTCATGTGATGAAAGAAACAGACAGACATATGACTCCAATTTTATTGAAAATCACAGCTCAAACTAGGTAGCTTTATACCTAGTTGGAAAGAAATATAAAGACAAAATTATAAGATAATCTTAGTTACTAGACTTTTCTTTGGATATAAGTACAAAAAAAGAAAAACTTTTATATTATCAGTATATTTAAATATAGTGTTATATGTAACGTTAACCTAATAATATAATACACCGTCAGTACACAAAAGTTGAACTCTTTTTGTTTTCTTTTGCCTTATGTTGTTTATTGTACATGATCTTGATGCCAAACTTAATCAGTACTATACCTTTGTTTGTACATTTAGGGAAGCAAACTTAAAGAAATCAAAAGTGTTGGCCCTCTTTGTCTGTAGAGCCTAAAGCAAAGAGTGTGACCCCTCTTTGATGCTTGCAAAAGCATTCATTTTCAAGATACCATAATTCATGGCTTTCTCTTAAGCTAAATTCAATTCTAATATCATTTTTTTTTATTGAGAGCGTAAATATTTTTTTATACCACTAGTATAATTTTACATATCATGATAGGTTGACTTCTTTATTTTCTTTCACTATTATCCTTTTATTGAGACATGTAGTTGCCTATTAATCAAAGAGGCTGAGAGTAAGTGTTATCTCACTTAGAAGCTCGAGCTTCCCAAGAATTAAAATTAAGAGAGGTGAAATAGATAGAAATCTTTATTAATTTCGAAAAATTAAGACATCCAAAAAAGAAGTTGTAATCTATATAAAAGGCATAAAATTATGAATTTTATTAATCAAGAAGATATTGTATAGTCAATTAGAGTCTCTTTTTATGAAGTTTACATAGAAATAGATGGACAAAAAACAAATATGAGGTTTCATTATTCAAAGTTAGCAAAAACATACAAACAAAAAAAACATGATCTCCCACTAGATAGTCAGGATAAGCAAAAGCTGCCAAACAATTTTATTTTTTTATAAAAAAAAAATTAAAAAAAAGCTGCAGCAGGTGGAATTTGTGACAATCTTACAGCTAATGCTATACCAGAAGAGCCATGATTCAATTGAAGAAAGAAAAATAAAGTTTTTTTTTATCTCTCAACACAAAAAGGAGAAAAGCTAGAAAAAAAAGTTAGTGATTGAGACCATTTTTCTTAATTTTTCCACTCGGTGTTCGATATCTGAATTGGAGTGGTTTCATACCGCGGGCCTATTCAGGGAGAAAGGTTACCTATCAAGGATTTTTCCATATCTCGAGCTCGAACACAAAATATCTAGTTAAGAGAGAAGCGACCACATACACTCCACCACATCTTTGAGGTGGTATACCATTTTCTTGATTTATTCCTCAATTTTACCTACCAAAATCTTTGTCTTATAAACCCCACAAACTTTTTGTCAGAAGCACTAATAGTAGCTTAAATTTCTTGAATTATTTGCACAAAGTCCACTTTTATGTTGAAGCTTTATATCCATGCACCCCACTTCAATTCTGGCTCCTCTCTATGAGAATGGTCTAAAATATGATAATTTACTTGAAGCAGAAATGAAAAGAAAAAAAAATGTAAAAGTTTTTCTTTCTCTTTGTTTTTTAAATAGTACCGTGTCTCATTCTCATTAGTCTTGACTAATTTGATTTCTCACTAAATAGGCTCAATCGTACTATATCTCACACTCACTGACTCTACTAATTTGATTTCTCGCAAAATAGGCTCAAATTTATGATATCTCATATTTATTAGTCAGACTAATCTAATTTCGCATCATGTAGGTACGGTTTCAAAAGATGACAATAGAAAGTGAGGGGAAGGAAACATTTTGTTTTAATTTTTTTCTTGCTTTTTATCGAGTTATCTTTTTCATAGTGTTAAAAAACAGCCCACAAAAAAAAGAAAAAGGAGGGGGGATTTTACTACCTAAATTAGATTATGTTTTTTTTCATTTTGGTTTTGAAATTATAATGCCTCTGCTTTATTTATATTGGGGTCATCTCAAGGAAAGAGCACAAATTTTTACTACAAGACATCTTTGGGGGGGGGGGGGGGGGGGGGTGT